GTTTTAATTATATTATACATGAGTTTTACTTATATATATATATATATATATATATATATGAATCTTACAAATGGCAGTACTGACAACCTCTGTATGGAATAAGTGTTTTTTCTATCTTTTGAAAAAGAAGAATTACACTCTTTCTAAGCTTTTCAGTAGATGACTATCTATAACTGGCTCGGATTCCCAAAGATGCACGATGAAGTACTTTTACTTCTGCTTATCAATGCAGAAAAATTGTCTTCAGCATACTCAATTTGTCTATTTCCTTGCTTCTGATGGCTTGCACTTACCATTCTTGTTTCTTTCCAAATGCATACACAGTGTCTTGTAGATGCTGTATTTTCTTTTATTATCCCCGTGTGAAATCTCATGAAAACCGCAGATGCCATCTTTCTCAACAAAAGGAAAACATTTTTATAAGATCTGCAAACAAAATTTTTATTATGAATATGAATGTAAACCTGGGCCTGTATCATATCTGTTCTCATGGGTGCTCTATACTTTCGGCCTTGTACCACATCTAAGTGTTCTAACCAACCCATATATGTAAGTTATAGCTTTGGGATAAATGCTGCAGAGAGAGAGAGAGAGAGAGAGAGAGAGAGAGAGAGAGAGAAAACAATTTCTCAAGGGATTTTTTTTTATATCTTGCATATTGCAAAATAATATATTTGAATTTTTCATGAGATTTTATTTTTCATCAAATACTAGTATCTGTTTTCCGTTATTAATGGTAACTAAGCTCACCTATCATCCGGTTGACACTCCTCCAGAGTCTTTTGAAGAGGAATAGAATTTTACTTATCGTTTCCTGTTTAAGATTGGGTTTCTGGTTCTTTCTAAAGTCATTTCATTCTCTTTCACTTCCAGTAAACTCTCTTGTGTCTTTGCGGCATTATTACCTTGCTTAGAGTGAATAGATTAAAAAAAAAAGTAAATTTAAATGTGAGAATAACATTTCCATACAGGAAAAATTCAGCATTCATAGACTGAACAATTATCGGTAATATTGGTTAATCTTTCTCTTAAAACAGTTTTTCAGGAAAATAGGAATCTCAAGTTCAGTTGCTGTTATTGCTCTTTCCAGTATTAATGGGAGTTTCCTACCTAACCTTTTGTCTTTGGTAGTGTGGAAGATCAACATCTTCATTGTTATTTTTCCTTCTAGTTACATCTGCTACACATTTTAACTGTTGTTGCTGTTGCTAGAGATCAGTTGATGTGGTTTATATTATTTGGTAAAAAGCTCTTTATGATTCTGTAGTGCCAGTCTATTGGATCTGATGAAGAATTGTCTTCTTTAAGACCTAGAGGATTTATTTTCTAGAAGCTATTTTTAATGATTCATCTGAGAAAATGGTTGTACATAGCTGTGATAATTTAGGCATTTTTTAACAATTTCAACTCAATGCATGGCATCTACAAGATGACTGAAAAGTAACTCCTTATTTTATATATGAGTGGCCAGCCAGAAGTCCTGACTTAACACTCTGTGACCCTTTTCTTTGGGGTTGGTTAAAGGATAAAGTCTAATATACCAAACCAATACTTTGGAAGAACTGGAATGTCGAACTGAACCCTTTATTTCACTCACTGGAGTAGACTGTTCAAGTTCCATGTGCCATGTCTAATGGATGTCAGTTATCAGTTATCTCCTGTTAATTCCCCTCTCTAAGTTCTCCATTGCCTTAACCAAGTTATCCACTGTGGATAACGATGTTGGTTAGATCCAGTGACAAAACCCAAAGAGTTGAGGATTCATTACCTGGTTAAAGCAGTGGAGAATTTGGAGAGATGAATTAACAGAAGATAATTGATAACTGACATCCATTAGACATGGCACATGGAACTAGAACAGTCTACTCCAGTGAGTGAAGTAAAGGATTCACTTCGACATTCCAACCACTTGAAGAGGACCTGAGCGTACAACAGCCAAAACGTTTTGATAAATATGGCAATGAAGATGAGGACAATAGTCCGAATAATGTAAATAGTGTAAAATAAGAATTCTGTTTGCATCCAAAAGTGATACAGTCTAGTGGTTATAGCATTCTGACTTCAAGACAAGAAAGAACAAAAATATGAAATTGAAAATTTGTCCATTTTTATTAGTTTAGAAGAAATTCCAGCATGCACCTGTAGGATTTGTCTATAAATTTGTGGGTGTGGATGTTCTTAGCAGTCATTCCCACAGAGATTGGAATCAACAGATTAGAAATAAATACAACTTTGGGGAGATATTTATTAATAAATAAGGAGAAATGACAGCAAGACTTCAACAGTGGCAGCAGCAACAATAAAAAAGAGAAACCTCAGTGATTGGTTTGGTTTGGTTTGTTTTATAGTATATCAACCACAATGGGTTCTTTAATGCCGACAAAATTTCCTTTTTTTTCAAAAATGTATAGCTGGTAATTTTTTCAGAAATGTATAGCTGGTAATATTTTTTTTTAAAATGTATAGTTTGGTTTGTTTTGTTTTGTGGCATATTAATCTCAATGGATTATTTAATGCTGACAAGATTTTTATTTCTGGTAATATTTTCTTTTTTCAAATATTTATTGCTGATACTAATTTTTTTTAAAAGTATTTCTAGTATTAAAATCTATTTTTACACTTTCATAGTGTTTTGAGTCAGGTTGTGGGGTCAACTATTTGCCCATAGCTGGGACCTTAGCAGGTGCTACCACCAGGGTAAACCTGGGAACACCAGAAATTAAGAGGTGGTTCCACGCTCCTCAAAACCTCCTGATCAGAATCCTTGCTGTTGGACGTAGTTCATCGTCTTACCCAGGACATGGATGCAGTTTATCGTCATACCCAGTACGCAGAAGCCTCAGTGAATTCAGTCAAACATGACAAGCAGCAGCAATGTCAGCAGCAGACAGATTAGGTTTAAGGCTCCATGTTCTAGACTCAGGATTGTCACATGGAAGTTGGTTCATGAGTTTAGTGACATAGTACTTGACAGATCAATTCCTGGGGCATGTAAACTCAGTAGAAATGGCAGCAAGCAAAAAGTGAGCAGTACTAAATAAGAACTAGACAAAAAATCCCTGAACATGGACAGTGGAGTGAGAACAGTCTACTCCTGTATAAGATAAAGGGTCATCTTGAAATTCTCTCAAGGTCACCTGGATTCACAAGCACCTGATGAAGGTCAGAGGTCACAATGGCTGAAAAGTGATGATAATGACAACAAAAATGATGAAAGTCTGAGTGTAAATAATGTAAATAAGAATCAAGACTCTCTGGACAACAATGCCTAAAATGCCGAGGCAGCTTACTGTCAATTTCTCCCTGAAGATGACCCACCCCTGATATCGGAAACCTGAAAAATGCAAATGAAGTTCTATTATAATAAATACCATATTTTCTAGCTTACAAGGCACTGCGCTTGGAAAATTCACCCTAATATTGGAAAGAAATTTCTAAGAAAAAAAGTCATTCTCATACGACAACACATTCACCATGCGTCCCTCACATACTGATGCCACGTATTGTTTACATTAATCCCTCCTCGAATTTTGTTTGTATGGTAATGACATACTAGTCAAGAGCAGAAAGGTTCCTGTGGCTGCAAGTAAACAGAGCATGTTTAAGCTTGTGGCTCGGCTCCAGGAAGGTTTATAGTCTGTAACAGCTAAGTACTGAGGTTACATCATATAAAAGGCTGAATTAGATAGCTAACATTATAGTGTAATGACTCAATATACAAATCCACATCCCTATCAGTAAAGCCAATTAGGTGACTGTCCAAACTTACTTGAGCCTGGGTGTTGCCTTCCATTTATCTTGGAAGATGCACACATATTTTTTGGGGTATTTTTAGGGAAAAAAAAGTGCGTCTTTTCAGCTGGAAATTACGGTGGTAATGAAATCAAAACTATTAATAAAAGTGTCAGAGTTTGGGAAAAACTTGCTGTAATGACAAAATAACAGAAGATAATTTGCAAGAAAATAACTATTGTTAAGAAGAAATGAATAAAACCAGTGTAATAATGGAGAGTAAGAAGGAAAAGCATGATTTTTTCTTTAAAGAAAATACTTGTTTTAAGTCTGAGGATTTAGCATTTCAAAGGAAGGCTTCAGATTTCATCTTTTGTCTTGTTTTTTATTCATTTCTTTTACTCTACACTGTCTGCTATACAACCTTACCCCACAAAAAAGGCATATTACATTGAAGAGAATCAATAAGAAAAGAGATCAATTTCTTTTAAAACAACTCGTGTTTCAAATGACATCACATGTACGTACCTGCATGTGTCTCTTTTGCATTCAATTCCATTCATTTTAGCGTCCCTTTATCAACACTTCAACCAATTGCATTCATTCTTTTACTTTTTGTTTTTTTTTCTTCCATCATTTGTTGAACACAGGCAACAGATGATGTAAGAGAAAAAAGATGAGGAAGAAGGGGGAAGTAAGAGAAAGAGTGGAGGGAAGGAGAGGGGAGAATAAACAGGAGGAATGAGGTGGAGAGGTGTTTTGAATCTGAGAGGAGGAAGAAGAAAAGGGGATGAGAAAAGGTTATAAGTAAAGGGAGAAGAGAAAGGGGAAGTAGGTTAGGAGCAAGAGGAAGTTGAAGGAGAAGAAGAGACAGAGAGAAGGTTAGTATCTGAGAAAGCAAAAGAAAGAGGAAGCAATGAAAGCTGAAGAAAGAGAGGAGGAGGTGAGGTTTAAAATCCAACAGAAATAACTTCAAAAAAGCAGAGGAGGATGAAAACAAAGATATAAAAAAAAATCATGATCAGAGAAAATCATCAACTGCTCTCCAAGACAGTCAAGAAATGAAGCTTTGGTTTCAATCTAAGAATAATTTTTGGCTGTCTTTTACCTTTTCTCAGTCTTCTGGATTCTTTAAATAAGCAAAAAACAATTAGTTTATTCCTGGGGTTTGTCATTAATAGTAATAAAGAGTGGCTGGATCCATGGAAATTCCACAAGTGTTGACAACTTCCTTATTCCTTCCAATCCAGCTAAGTAGCCATTATCTTATGCCCCTGTTCTTCTCTCACCATTTGCCTGTATCTTCTCATTCACTCCCTTATTCCTTCCAATCCAAGATTAGCCATTATCTTATGCCCCTGTTCTTCTCTCACCATTTGCCTGTATCTTCTCATTCACTCCCTTATTCCTTCCAATCCAAAATTAGCCATTATCTTATGCTCCTGTTCTTCTCTCACCATTTGCCTGTATCTTCTCATTCACTCCCTTATTCCTTCCAATCCAAGATTAGCCATTATCTTATGCCCTGTTCTTCTCTCACCATTTGCCTGTATCTTCTCATTCACTCCCTTATTCCTTCCAATCCAAAATTAGCCATTATCTTATGCCCCTGTTCTTCTCTCACCATTTGCCTGTATCTTCTCATTCACTCCCTTATTCCTTCCAATCCAAGATTAGCCATTATCTTATGCCCCTGTTCTTCTCTCACCATTTGCCTGTATCTTCTCATTCACTCCCTTATTCCTTCCAATCCAAAATTAGCCATTATCTTATGCCCCTGTTCTTCTCTCACCATTTGTCTGTATCTTCTCATTCACTCCCTTATTCCTTCCAATACAAGATTAGCCATTATCTTATGCCCCTGTTCTTCTCTCGCCATTTGCCTGTATCTTCTCATTCACTCCCTTATTCCTTCCAATCCAAGATTAGCCATTATCTTATGCCCTGTTCTTCTCTCACCATTTGCCTGTATCTTCTCATTCACTCCCTATTCCTTCCAATCCAAAATTAGCCATTATCTTATGCCCCTGTTCTTCTCTCACCATTTGTCTGTATCTTCTCATTCACTCCCTTATTCCTTCCAATACAAGATTAGCCATTTTCTTATGCCCCTGTTCTTCTCTCACCATTTGTCTGCATCTTCTCATCCTCTCCCTTATCCCATTCAATCCGACTAAGATTATCCATTATCTCATGCCTCCACTCTTCTCTCACCTTTTGCCTGTGTCTTCTCATTGTCTCCCTTATCCACACAGATTTGGCCTTAATAAAAAACATATATTTATCTCAATACACTCTGACTTGTAGCATTAGTTAGCTCTTTGGAAGTGTGAATGCCTTAAAAAGCATGTCATTCAGTGCTTTGTTGATAATCTCTTCCAGAGAATATACACAAAATCACAGACGATAGTCTCAGGAGGAAATCAGTTTTGTTCAAAGAATATTGCACTTACAAAATAGAATTCTTACATTAAAAACAGCACCTGTAACTAAATTTATTTTCTTCTTTTTTAATTGTAATGTCCCTTCAGGCCATTGGAGATCATAGCTCTCTACTATGGCCACAATGAATATGCCAGTAGTATAATGAATATTGGTCCAGAAAGATAAATAAGTGAATTGAGTTTATGCCTTTACCAAGTGAATGCAACAGACTAGACCAGGATTTGAACTCAACTCACCAATTCTATTTTCTTCATTAATAACCATTATGCTATCCACACATCCATTTATTGAATAAATAAGAAATTCAGATGAAACCAAGAAAGAAATAGGAGAGGTTCTCTTCCAAAATAGAGAATAAAACATGAGCCTTATTATCATGCGCACACATATGAATGCTCAGAAACATATATACCAATATATTGGGTGCAAGAGATAAACTGTCATCTAATTAATGCAAATATAAAAATAATACCGACATCTTATATATTTACCAAAATTACACAAAAATATCTTGAAGTACTAAAGAGAAAATTTATTCAATAAAATTACCATTGGCTTCAATCATGTCTTCCGGACGACTTCAGAATCACCTGCAACTCTTCTGGATGGTCTCATTGTTTAAGTTGGTGAATGTCTTGCCTTCAGTTCATGTTTGGTCTTAGAAAGAGTTTTGTTGTTCTCTCGCTCTAGTGGGGCTAGATGTAAAAGGTGATGTGGTTGCTGTTATAATGGAACACACCTATTCTATAGTTAATAGACTCTCCCACCTATAATAAGTAGTAGTAGTAGTAATAGTCGCGAGGTCGCTCAGTGAGTTGGTCAGTCAGTCGATGTCAGACGACCATTAGTTGGATACTAAAGTATCATCGACCACTACTATTACTATTATATCAAGTTCCTAACATTTTGTACGTCGAACCTATTTTAGGACCGACTTAGTACAAATACAAGCCTCCACTGTGAAACTACTCTACAACACTTGAAGAATTTGTCTGACAGCCATGACTGGGTTCTCCTGCTTGTGAGGCATAGTGAAGAGCATTGTTGCCATTTTTCTTCTAACAGCCACCCTCTTGGTCAAGGGCAGCACTACTTTCTCAAGGCACTTGATGTAGGCCTTTCTGTTGAGTCTGATGCCTTCACTAAAAAATTCAGTAGTTCCTTATCAGAATAATATGATTTCCTTTGTTGTTTCACTTATCATGTTTCAGCCAATACAATCTCTGACCATATACAGGTGACATGATAATCATTAATTTTTTTTCAAATAAATATTTGACAACACCTCAACCCAGAACACCAAACGAAACTAAATTTTTTAATAAGTTTTTTTGTCAATAATATTTTCATCCACTATTTCATTTTCATTTGAAATCCTTTTTTACAGTTAAAATTATTCTGTAAATCAATAATTTTAAGTGCAGAAAAACAAAGGATTTTACAAGACTGCCATCTCCTTTGTGCTACTACATGGTGCCAAGATATGGCCTCTCAGCAAGACCCTTGCCTTCCCGGTCCATGGCTTTGAATTTCACACCCATAAAGAGAGTGCACTGGTGTGATCTAGTGTATAATAAGGAACTCCTCTAGAGGATTGACTGGCTGGCCGAGCATCCTCACACATCATCACTCAGCACTGTGTTCAATGGCACAGTGACAAGCTGAAGACCAACCCACTAGAGCTGTCTACCAGTTGGTCTTGCCATCTGCAGACTGGAGATACCTTACAGCAGACATTTCGATGCTCTGCCAAGACCGTAAGAGATAGAGGAAGGTGGCTCTCAGGGGTTCAGAGCCTTCATGACATGAGATTTAGCAGAAGTAGAAAATTATTAGTTACTGAAGGAAAAATGTTTTCTGTAAATTGTCTTCTGAAATTTATAATTACATGACAAAAATATTCATGAGTTTTTTTTTTTTTTCTCAATCAAATTCTTTTGTAATTTTAATTCCAAACCATCACAAATCATCTTGAAATATCTCTTTAAAATTGACCATTTTCTCTCTGTATTTTTTTTTTTTTTTTGATCATTTCACCCCATACAAGGAAATAAAGCCAGTACAATGCAAGGAGTTACTGAGTATTAGAAAATAAACTAAGAAGACACGACAATAAAAGAACCAGAATTAAGACAGAAGATTAACACTGAATTTAAATTTTTGAAGATCAAAGTTGAGAGGGAAGCAAGAAGCCGGAATGGAGTTCCACAAGTGAGAAGTGTGAGAGAAGAAACTGTTAGCATAGAACTTATGGCAATATTTAGCCGTTTCGACTGTAAAATGATGTGACTTTACTGCCAATCTAGTAATTGTTCTGATGAATTTTCCTATAGGGTACCTAGAATTTAATTCTAGGTACCCCATAGGAAAATTCATCAGAACAATTACCATAAAAGTATTTATAGAAAAGACACAGGGAAGCTATGTTACAGTGGTTTGAAGGTGACTGAAGCTGAGATAACAGGTCAGGACTAATAACATTGCAGATACTTCTTTCGATTTTATCACAAATCTCTAAATATATAGCAAGTGCACCAGATCATATGTGACAGAAATATTCAAAGCAAGGGCGAATGGTAGACTTATAAATATGCATGATGGATTTGAAAGTATCTAACATGCAGAAACCATTCATGACTAACAACAGATTAGCTAGTGGCAAATGTGGAGATTTGAGACCCTTTGCAGAATCTTACGTCTTACACTTGCATTCCAAGTACTTTGTAAAGGGAAAGAAACCTTTCACTCTGCTAAAATTGCATCCAGTTCCTAAACAGCAAGTATAGCTTGAGATTTTGGAAAAAATCAGATTCAATGCAAGAAAAATTTCCTTCTTGGCAACATGGCTCAAGTAATTTTCATAATTTTTTCAGTCATTGGGTTGTTAAAAAAAAATATTTTTGAAACCTGTGAAAAGAGATTTCAGCCCTGATCAAATTTTCCTGGCTCATTACATGATCTCTCAATTTTATGTCTCATGATTAAAATAGATTTTCGTTGTATCATGAATATGGTCTTCTCTCATAACAATGTACAACTAAACTGCATCTTAAAAATACAATTGTCTAGCAGCATATCAATAGCATATAAATACCAGGATTGGTGTTTATAATCTAATGAGATTCATCCTCACTAGGTACCTCACTTTTATATGATATGATAATCTAATAAGTTCCTTCAATATAACACAAGCTTTTAGCAAATCAACTGTTGTATTGTCGAGGTGAATGATACGCAGAGAAGAATGAATCATACTTATTATAAAACCCAGGTTGTGTGTGTGTGTGTGTGTGTGTGTGTGTGTGTGTGTGTGTGTGTCTGTACGTTTATATATTGGATCGGATTTCCTACATTTTTCAACCGATTTCAACAAAATTTCACAGAACTACGTAAAATTACCTTGTGGTGGTTCTGACAAAAAAATAAAAAAATTGTTTTTGCACAAAATCAATTTGAAAACACGATTAAGAGAATGAAAGGGGGACAACTCATATCGAGTTATACTTATAAAACCCAGGTTGTTTGTGTGTGTGTGTGTGTGTGTGTGTGCGTTCGTTCGTTTATATATGGGATCAGATTTCCTACATTTTTCAACCAATTTCAACAAAACTTCACTTTTTTTTGGCAGGTAGTGTTTCTTATTGTCTTGCACACATTTTCTTTATTTTTACATTCAGAATGCTTTGAAAATTCCATTTACAAGACAATTGTTTATAATAAAATTCTATTCAATCGGTAGACTCATAACGATTAAAAACAATGTTTTTGTTTGAGTTTGGGTTTGACCAATTCGTAAAAAACAAAAAAAACAAAACAAAACAAAAAAATACTAATTAAGACATGTGTGTCCGTCAACCTTAAACAATAATCTTAGTCAATTTTATTTTTCAGTCTTTATGATGGTTGATACTTGATCTATCTCTTGCTGTTACATCCCCGGGCAACACCGGGCTCTACTGCTAGTATTTAATATATTTATTCAGCACCAGTATCCTGTGCTAACAGATACATATAAAAAAAAACACAGAACAATAAGTTGCAAACAATTAACAAGACAACTTACAAGGAATAGAGGAGGGTCAAACGCTGTATAGTCAAACAAAGTAAGATCAGTTCAAATATTAATCAGCTTAGTATCAACTTATTAATCAATTGTTGAAGTCCTTAATCATAGACTATTTAAGGCTATGAGCCAGGCCATCTGGTTGAGTGTTGAAGGGGTGCTAACTACTCTACAACACTAACTTATTGGTCATTATTGTTGGAACAACTTATTTAGTGTTCCACATTAGTTGTCTTGTTCCATACTAAACCAAAATTATCAGGAGAAAAATACCTTTTGCTGGCATCAAATATCTATTGGTTGCCATACGATCTTGTTATAGTTATCTGCAACTGCCTTAGTATAGAGAATTAGAAAACCTCCCAGGGTCTATTATTGGTGGACTTAACCATAACAACATAAACTATGACAGATGACATTGCATTGGTAGATTCAAAAGGAAAATGAAAGGAACTATTATACTAGGTAGCTGAAAAAGCATGAAGAAAAAAATGACCATTAATTGAAAGAAGTCAGAATGCGCAGTAGTTAGCAAAAGGGGCAGCCCAGTATAGGAATTACATATTAGGGATGTCAAAAATAAAAAATATAGAAATTCAACTACTTAGCCAGTGGAATAGCACTATATTTTCATAGGAACATACAATACAATCCCATGAAAATATATTA